AATTGCCCCAACAACTGTCCCAGCAAAATAGCCCTACAGTGAAGGTTACTAGTCCAAAGACCTCCACCATATGCTTAGAGCTTTTATGGTCACCTTTTTAGTCTCCCTTTTTAGATGATTAAAAATGAGGAGACAGTGTCACACATGATGAATGAATCCAATATGAAAGGTAGAGGCCAAAACATATAATAAGGTAAGGAGGAACCAACTTATGCAGGAAGATGAAAGCTTCCAAAACAATAAATATCATTAATTTATTAATATTCCTAAAGATATACTGTGCCTATAAGTCAAAAATAGGATGGTATTTTTCAAAATAAACATTCAGATAATTTTAAAAATCTTAAAAATTAAAAATATGAGCCAAGTGTAGTAGCTTACATCTATAATTCCAGCACTTTGGGAGGCCAAGGTGGGAGGATCATTTGAGGCCAGGAGTTTGACCCAGCAGGCAACATTGTGAGACCCTGTCTCTACCAAAAATAATAATAATTAGTTTGGCATGGTGGCACACTCTTGTAGTCCTGACTACTCAAGAGGTTGAGGCAAGAGGATTACTTGAGCCCTGGAGTTTGCAGTTACAGTGAGCTATGATCACACCACTACACTCTAGCATGGGCAACAAAGCAAGACTTTCTAATTTTTTAAAAAATAAAAAATATTATAAAATGAAAAGCTGAATTGAAGTGTTTAAAAAATACAGTTAAGGAAGTCACTCTCAGTATAGGGCAAAAAAAAAAAAAGAAAGAAATGGAAAATATAATAGACTCAATAAGAATATTACTGAATAGATAATGTTGAGCCAGTATAGAAGCACCAATGTAAAAAAGGAGACAGGCAGAGAACAGAGAAAATGGAAGGGAGGCAATTACCAAAATAATTCAAGAAAACATTCTATAATTGACGGGCATGCATTATTAGACTGAAAGAGTCCACTGGATATGCAGCACAATGAATGGAAATAGACTCATGCCGGTTTCAGAGTCCTTGAAAAAGGGAGGATTCCAGAAATATGTAAGTTGAGAGGCAGGAATATATACAAAGGACCAGGAATCAGAATGGCTTTGGGTTTGCCAAAGCAACATTGGAACTAGGAGACCAGTGCCTTCAAATTTCTAAAGGAAAATTATTTCTAACCTAGAATTCTACAGGCAGCCAAACTATCAGTAAAATACAGAGAAGAATATTTTTTTCATACATTCAAGATCTTAAAAAAAAAAAACCTACATCCCATTAAATATTGCTCAAAATGTACTGAAACATGTGTTACACCAAAATGAGAGTAATTCAAAAAGGAGGAGTGCATGGGATACAAGACAGGAGATCCTTAGAAAGGCAGTTTCTAAGGTGTAGGTGACAGAAAGGGATTTCTCAGATGATAGCTGTATGCTAGACAGGCAGCCAGTCTAGAACAAATCAGTGCAATAGAGAGGGAGAGATACAGAGAGACATATGTTGAATGCCTTCTGTATTCTACACTCTTAACACCTGATACTATATGGGTAGTAAGTCCCCAGAATCTTATCTATGCTTAACCTTGCATGCACCATGTGCTGATGTTCTTGCTCTCTCCTTCATGCCCTGCTACCTGGATAACCAAAGACATTCATTTCACCCCCACAGAAGAATTTTGCTTTGAACTGCTCCTGAGAGCTGAAGATTGGCCATGGTAAGTAAGTTTAGAAGCAGAAAACAGACAGCACTCTACCCCAAATGGTCATATTCCTGTCATATTTTAGTACCTAGGCTGTACTGCCAGAAGCCTTCACTGTGTTGAGGCCTATGTTTCTTGGGACTCATTCTGGCCTTCCCCAAATAGGGACTATGATAAACCCTCTGAAAAGCTGAAGCCAGACTGTGACTCTTTAAAGCTCGTCTTCTCTTGAGAACCTTCATCAGTGGTAATAATGCCTTTTCCATACATGGCCAGATTATTGCTTTCCTGATCATTTTTAAACTAATCACCTTTTATGTTCACTTACATGCAAATACTTATAGTTAAGTTAGAAAATTTTGAAAAAAAATTATTATTGTCATTTACCATATTTTAAAAATAAAGGGCAGAGGCAGACCAGTTTTTAGAAAATTAAAATTGAAAATTAAAGAGAAAAATTACATGATACCAAGATTTAGACTAAAGCTTTCTGTAAAATTCAATACCTATTTATGTTATAAAACAAAACAAAACCCTTTACAAACTAGTAATAGAAGAGAACTTTCTTAACCTATAAATTCTATAGCATATAAAACACTAGTCATGATATGGTTTTTTTAATCCCTTTAAAAATCATGAATAAAACAGGATATATACTATAATTACTTCTATTACCTAACATTTTACTTGCAAATTACATGATCATGTAAGGAAAAGGTCACAGAACATGTACAAAAAAAAATGTTAGAAGCAATAAGTGAAATTTAGCAGAGTTACAGGATTCTAGTCAGTATTCAAAAGCATATTTCTGTGTTCTAGCAGTGAACTATTAGTAAAATTTTATAAAGTAAAATTTACAGTAACATAAAATACATTAAATGTTTAAGGATTAAATTTAACAAAATATGTAAGATCTATATATTGAAAACTACAATTTGTTTTTTGTTGTGAGAAACTGAAGAGCTAGATAAATGGACAGATATACCACTTAATGGTTTAGAAAATTCAATATTGTTAAGATGCCTGTACTCCAAAACTGATTTGTAGGTTCTGCAGGCTTTTTGGTATAAATGGAAAAACTGATTCTGATATTAACATGGAGATGCAGAAGATTGTGAATAGGCAAAACAGTTTTTGAAAATGAACAAAGTTGTATTACTTACAAGGCTTGATTTATATGCTGCTACCAAGACAATGTTGCGTTGGTGGTAAGAATGACATGTAAATCAATAGAACATCCAAAAATTGACCCACACACTTATACTGGCCTGATTTTCAATAAATATGTCAAGGTAATTCAGTGGAGAAAAGATAATCTTTTCAACAAACTGTGCTGGAATAAATGAATATTCTTAGGACCAAAAAAAATGAACTTCAACCTCACACCAACATAAAAATTTAATAGAAGTGACTTCTGTTTCTAAATATAAATTATATCTCTAAAGGTAAAAACTAAGATTATAAAACATCTAAAAGAAAATACAGGAGATATTTTTGGTTCGGCAAAGATTTATTAGTAAAAAGCACAAACTATAGACAAAAAATTAACAAACTGAACTTCATCAAAATCTCAAACTTTTGTTCTTCAAAAGATAGTATTCAGAAAATGAAAGGTAAGCCACAGACTTGGAGAAACTAATGGCAAAATATATACCCAAGAAAGGATCTACATGTAAAATATAGAAAGAATTCTTACAACTGAATAATAAGAAGGCAAACAACAATGTATCAAAGAAGAGATATGGATAGTAAATAACAACATGAAAAGATGCTCAGAAACATTAGTCATTAGTCATTAGGGAAATGCAAATTAAAACCACAATGAATACCACTACACACCTACTAAAACAGCTAAAATGAAAAAGACTGACTTCAAACCAAGTGCTGATGAAGATGTGAAACATCTGGAACACTTATACATGCCTAGTGGGAATGTAAAATGGTAGTCACTTAGGAAAAGTGTAGCAGTATCTTGAAAAATTAAATATTCACCTGCCATACAACCCAGCCACTCTTCTAGCTGTTTACCCAAGAAAAATGAAAGCATATGTCTATACAAAGTGTTCTTTGTGAATGTTCATAGCTGCTTTATTTGTAATAGTCAAAACTAGAAACCTGCATTTGGACAGAGAAATAAATTGTGCTGTGACCATACAATGGAGTACCTACTCAGCAGTAAAAGGAAATGAAGTATTGATAACATAATAACATGAATGAATCTCAAAGAATTAGGTCAAATGAAAGAAGCCATACAATCAGGGGTATAAATGGTATGATTCCACTTATGTAGCATTCTAAAAAATGCAAATTGAGGTTTTTGGAGGTGGGAGATATCTTGATTGTGGTAGTTTCCTGGGTGTATACAGATGTACTGATCAGACAGACACTTTCAACATATATACTTTTAATGTACATCGGTTATACCTCATTGAAGCTATAAAACATAGGTAAGCTGATACTATTTTCAGTATCTCACCAAGCTTTAATTTCCTCATCAGTAAAGTTAAAAGAATAATACCCACCTCACAGGGATTATTTGAACATTTTGTGTGTGGTGTGTGTGTACATGCACACCCGTCCACATAATACCTCCATATACTCCTTATCAGGCCTTATTTTTCTTCAGAGCAATTATAATTAGTTATGTATTTAATTGTTTACCTACCCCAACTATACTATAAATTCTTTGAGAACAAAATCTTTACCTATTGGCCTGCCTTCCGAAATGCTTAGAACAATGCCTGGTACATAGTAGGCACTCCATATATATTATTAAGTGATTTATTGAATGAGAGTGAGTGAGTGTGAGTGTGTGTGTGTGTGTGTGTGTGTGTGTGTGTGTTAACACTGGCTTACATGGCGCATATGACTCAATCTACATTAATTCTAATCCACTATCCCCCTGCCTATTCCATGAGACTGAAAAAGTTATCAGGTACTTTGAGATTACCTTCCCAATACATGTATTAAAGTCTTGGTGGCCTGTTTCTCAGCTCCTTTTAATGGCTATATATAGTAGGCAAATTATTAGAAAATTTGATAGGTCTGCATTTACTACAAACAAAAACTTTTCCTTCTTATGAGAGTGATGTCTTCTAGCCAGACGTGGTAGCACATGTCTATACTCCCAGCTGTTCGGGAGACTGAGATGAGAGGATTACTTTAGCACAGGAATTCGAGGCTAGAGTGTACTATGATCACACCTGTGAATAGCCACTGCACACCAGTCTAGGCAACATAGTGAGATCCTAGCCCTTATAAAAAAGGAACAAAGTGATGGCTTCAATTTCTGATTATGACATGACTTGAGAAAATTTTATTTTGCTTTTCTTTTTTCCCTCCACAGGGTTTATCCATGGCTTAGAGGACTGGGTTACACATCCTTGGGTATATTTTTATTGGGATTTTTGTTTTGGAATATAGATAACATATTTTGTGATTCACTGAGGTAAGAGATATTTTCATTACTTCAGAAATATTTTTGGAAGCATTTTATTAAGTAGAGAATTTTATAAACGTGTAGAAATAGTAGTGCCCTGAAATGAATTTTTACTGTTGTTGACATTTAAAAGATATGTACAGTAAAATGAAGTTAAATTCTTGGAATACCTGTTTAAATTACCTAAAATTTTGGACCTGAGGATATTTCATAACCTCTGTAGGGTTTGGGTTTTATGTGTGTGTGCATCATAGAGCTATGTAGTTAGTCAAATGTTGGCTGTTCCTTTGAAACTTGTCTGATCTGCTTCATTGAATAAAGAAGACTGATTTGTAATAAGCATATGAAATATATGTATGAGGGCTGGGCGTGGTGGCTCACACCTGTAATCCCAGCACTTTGGGAGGCCGAGGCGGGTGGATCATGAGGTCAAGAAATTGAGACCATCCTGGTCAATTGGTGAAACCCCGTCTCTACTAAAAATAGAAAAATTAGCTGGGCATGGTGGCGCACGCCTGTAATCCCAGCTACTCAGGAAGCTGAAGCAGGAGAACTGCCTGAACCCAGGAGGCGGAGGTTGCAGTGAGCTGAGATCGTGCCATTGCACTCCAGCCTGGGTAACAAGAGCAAAACTCCACCTCAAAAAAAAAAAAAAAAAGAAAGAAAAAAGAAATATATGTATGTAAATATATACTTTCATATGCTTAATGTTATTTTCTAAGAAAGCAAGTGTTCCTTTTACCATCTTGTCAGCAATCATATATTGATGGAAGTTTGAATCTTAGACTTAGGTCTCTGGATTCTGGTCTGTCATTAGGCACTGTTCTTCTGGCCCTCATTTTTCATGAAATGAGCATACTGAATAGGTTAAACTAGCAGATCATTCCAACTCTAAATCCTGTAAACTAACAATTTTGCATAAACAGAGGACAGAGGAATGTACTGAACAGTTCCACAGGAAGGCAATCAACAAAATTCAGACTGTAAGAAATCTAAAGAGTGAATGACCTGATCTCTTCAACAGATAAATTATAGAGGCATGGCCAGGCATGGTGGCTCATGCCAGTAATCGCAGCACTTTGGGAGGCCGAGGGGGGTAGATCACTTGAGGTCAGAATTTCAATACCAACCTGGCCAACATGGTGAAACCCTGTCTCCACTAAAAATACAAAAATTAGCTGAGCATAGTGGTGTGTCCCTGTAATCCTAGCTACTTGGGAGGCTGAGGCAGAAGAATTGTTTGAACTGGGGTGGTGGAGGTTGCAGTGAGCCAGGATCATGCTGCTGCACTCCAGCCTGGGTGACAGAGCAAGACTCTGTCTCAAAAAAAAAAAAAAAAGCAGAGGCAGGAAAGAAAAAAGAGGAAGGAGGAACATATAGATTAAGAGACTTAGATATATCAGCCAGATATAATGTGTTGGCCTTTTTTGGATTCTGATTCAAAGAAACCAACTGTTTAAAAAAAAAAAAAAAAAGTATGAGAAATTTTGAACTTTGGTCGGTAACTGAATATTTTTTATGATATTAATGATTATTATTTTTACGTATGAAAATGTGGTTATATTTTACGGAGGTTTTCATATTTTAGAAATACATACTAAAATAATTTGAAATAGAATGATATAGTATCTGGGATTTGCTTCAAAAAGATATGAGAGAGAGAAGTGGATGAGGGTTTAGATGACACAGATTAACCATAAATTATCATTGTTAAATACCGTTCCCCAGAATGTAGTTTGGATAACAGTGTGGCTGACTGCAGGAAACTTAAGGCAATTAAGTAACTGCCGTATTTGAGAATGACGTTTCAAAATAGAAGTTCTAAGACTATCAGCATTAGTTATTTAACATGGTGATTTTCTCCCCCTTTCCACACAGGGACTTTCGAAAGAAGGTACCACCTATCATAGGTATTACCACACAATTTCATGCATGGTGGCATATTTTAACTGGCCTTGGTTCCTATCTTCACATCCTTTTCAGGTAGGAAATAGAGACTTTTTTAGCTTAGTACTAGAGTTTTTTTTTTTTCTTTATTCTTTAAATAGGATGACGTAAATATTTTTTAAACACTAGAAAATTCACAAACATGAATATAGTACACCCTTGAACAACCATTGGTCAAAGAAGAAATCAAAAGAAAATTAGAAAATACCTTGAGACATGTGAAAACAAAAATACAACATACCAAAACTTTTGGGATGCAGCAAAAGCAGTACTAAGAGAAGTTCATAGAAATTAATGCCACATTTAAAAGGAAGAGAGAGCTCAACAAGACTTTAAACCTCAAAGAACTAGGAAACTAAGAACAAATTAAGCCCACATTTGGCAGAAGGAAAGAAATAACAGAGCAGAAATAAACAAAATAGAAAAATGTTTAAATATCTATGAAACTAAGAGTTGGGATATTGAAAGATCACCAGAATTGACAAACCTTAGCTAGACTAACAAAAAAAGATTAAGAAGTCTCAAATAAATAAAATTAAAAATAAAAGAAGAGACATTGCCATGATGCCACAGACATAAGAAGAATCACGCAATTATATGCCAACAAATTGGATGACTTAGAAGAAATGGACAATATCCTAGAAACCTACCAAGACTGAGTTGTGAAGAAAAAGAACAGATTCTAACTAGGTCAAAACATTCATAAAAAGTTAAGCAAGACACAAACAAATGAAAAGACATTTTGTGTTCATGGATTAAAAGACAGAGTTGTTAAAATGTTCATACTACCCAAAGCCATCTACAGATCCAATGCAATCTCATTTAGAATTCCAAGGGCATTTGTTACAGAAATACAAAAAACAATTCTAACATTCATATAGAATCACAAAAGACCACAGGTAGCCAAATCAATCTTGAAAAAGAACAGACATGAAGCATCTCCCTTCTTGATTTCAAAATAAACAAGCATGCATAACTTTTTTGCACATTTTAGGTATTGTGTTTTTTACAAGTTCAAAGTTTATGGCAACCCTGCATCAAGCAAGTTTATAGCTGACATTTTTCCAACAGCATGTGTTTCCTTCATGTCTCTGTGTCTTATTTTTATAATTCTGACAATATTATTATTATTATATCTGTTATGGTGGTTCTGTGATCAGTGATCTTTTTTTCCCCCCAAGACAGGGTCTCCCCCAAACTGGAGTGCAGTGGCATGATCACCGCTCACTGCAACCTCCACCTCCTGGGTTCAAGTGGTTCTCCTGCCTCAGCCTCCCAAGTAACTGGGATTATAGGCATGCACCACCACACCTGGCTAATTTTTGTGCTTTAAGTAGAGACGGGCTTTCACCATATTGGCCAGGCTGGTCTCAAACTCCTAACCTCAAGTGATCCTCCCACCTCGGCCTCCCAAAGTGCTGGGATTACAGCCACCATGCCTGGCCTGTGATCAGTGATCTTTGCTGTTACTATTGTAATTGTTTTAGGGTACCACAAACCATACTCATGTAAGACAGTCGACTTAGTAAATGTTGTATGTTCTGACTGCTCCACCAACTGGCCATTCCCCATTCTCTCCTTCTCCTCCAGCCTCCCTATTCCCCAAGAGGAAACAAAACTGAAATTAGGCCAATTAATAACCCTACAATGGCCTCTAAGGGTTTGAGTGAAAGGAAGAGTGGCATATCTCTCACTTTAAATCAAAAGCTAGAAATGATTAAGCTTAGTGAGGAAGGTACGTTGAAAACTGAGATAGGCCAAAAGGTAGGCCTCTTGTGCCAAACAGTTGGCCAAGTTGTGAAGGCAAAGGAAAAGTTCTTGAAAGAAATTAAAAGTGCTACTCCAAAGAACACACGAATGATTAAAAAAAAAAAAAAAAAAAAAAAAAAAAAAAGGGATATGACCTTATTTCTAATATGTGGAAATTTCTAGTAGTCTGGATAAAAGATCAGACCAGCCACAACATTGCCTTAAGACAATGCCTAATCCAGATCAAGGCCCCAACTCAATTCAATTCTGTGAAGGCTGAGAGAAGTGAGGAAGTTGCAGAAGAAAAGTTTGAAGCTAGCTGAGGTTGGTTCATGAGATTTAAGGAAAGAAGCCATCTCTATAACATAAACTTGCACAGTGAAGCTGCAGCAAGTTATCCAGAAGATCTAGCTAAGATTATTGATGAAAGTGGCTACACTAAACCACAGAGTTTCGATGTAGATGAAACAGCCTTCTACTGGAAGAAGACAGCATCTAGGATTTTCATAGCTAGAGAGGAGGAGTCAATCCTTAGCTTCAGAGCACAGGCTGTGACTCTCATTTGGAGCTAATGCAACTGATGACCTTAAGTTGAAATGAGAGCTCATTTTCTATTTTGAAAGTCCTATGGCCCTTAAGAATTATACTAAAGGTATTCTACCTGTGCTCTACAAAATGGACAACAAAGCCTAGATTACAGTACTTCCATTTACAGCATGGTTTACTGAATATTTTGACCCCACTATTGAGACATACTGCTCAGAAAGAAAGATTTCCCTTCAAAATATTACCACTCATTGGCAATGCACCCTATTATCCAAGAGCTCCAATGGAGATGTACAAGATTAATGTTGTTTTCATTCCTGATGACACAACCTCCATTCTGCAGCCCATAAATCATGGAGTAATTTTGACTTTTAAGTCTTACTACTTAAGAAATATATTTCGGCCAGGTGTGATGGCTCACACCTATAATCCCAGCACTTTGGGAGGCTGAGGCTGGTGGATGACGAGGTCAGGAGATCAAAGCCAACATGGTGAAACCTTGTCTTTACTAAAAATACAAAAATTAGTTGGGTGTGGTGGCACATGCCTGTAATCCCAGCTACTTGGGAAGCTGAGGCAGGAGAATCACTTGAACCCAGAAGGCAGAGATTGCAGTGAGCTGAGATTGTGCTACTGCACTCCAGCCTTGCAACAGAGCGAGACTCTGTCTCCAAAAAAATAAGAAAAAGAAAAAATACATTGCATAAGTCTATAGCTGCCAGCAATAGTGATTCCCCTGATGGATCTGAGCAATAAACCAAAACCTTCTAGAAAAGATTTACCATTCTAGATGCTATTAAAAACATTCGTGATTCGTGGGAGAGCAAGATGTTGACATTAACAGGGGTTTGGAAGAGGTTGATTCCAACCCTCACGGATGGCTTTGAGGGCTTCAAGATTTAAGTGAAGGAAGTAACCATACATGTGGTAGAAATAGCAAGAGAACTAGGATTAGAAGTGGAACCTGAAGATATGACTGAATTGCTACTATTTCATGATAGAACTTTAATGGATAAGGACTTGCTTCTTATGGATAAACAAAGAAAGTGGCTTTTTGAGATGGACTCTACTCCTATGAAGATACTGTGGACATTGTTAAAATGACAACAAAGGATTGAAAATATTGCATCAAATTAGTTATAAAGCAGTGGTGGAATTTAAGAGGATTGACAGGTGACTCCACTTTTGAAAGAAGTTCTGTGGGTAAAATGCTATCAAACAGCACCACATGCTATAAGAATTATTTTGTGAAAGGAAGAGTCAATTGATGCAGCCAACTTCATTGTTACATTATTTTAAGAAATTGGTACAGCCACTCCCACCTTCAGCAACCACCATCCTTACCAGTCAGTAGCCATCAACATCAAGTCAAGACCCTCCATCAGCAAAAAGATTCTAGCTAAAGGCTTAGATGACATTAGCATTTTTTGCATACTTAATAGCCTACAGTATACTGTAAACATAACTTTTCTAAGCACTGGGAAACCAAAGTACTCATGTGACTCACTTTATGGTGATATTCCTTATTTTAAAATTTAGAGCCAAACCTGCAATATCTCCAAGGTATGCCTTTATTACCAAGCTAAAGTAAAAGAACACTGTGGTACTAGCATAAAGACACACATACAGACAAATGAAACAGAATAGAACCCAGAAATCCACACGTATATTCTCAACTGATCTTCTACACAGGTGCCAAGAATGCACAATGGGGAAATGACAGTCTTTTCAACAAATGGTATTGGGAAAACTGGATATCTATATACAAAAGAATGAAATTGGACTCTTACTTTACACTATATACAAAAATCAACTCAAAATGGATCAATGACTTAAATATTAGACCTGAAACTGTAAAACTTCTGAAAGAAAACATAAGGGGAAATCTGCTTGACTTTGGTCCTGGTGATGACTTCTTGGATATGACATTAAAAATACAGGAAACAAAAGCAAAAATAGACAAGAGGAACAAAAGAAATATCAGCAGGAAAAGGCAACCTCTAGAATGTCAGAAGGTAATTGCAAAGCATATATTCTAATAAGGGGTTAATATCCAAACTATATAAGGAGTTCCTACAACTTAAGAGCAAATAATAACCAATTAAAAATAGGCAAATGACTTGAATAGACATTTCTCTAAAGAAGACACAGAAAGGGCCAACAGGTATATGGCCAACATCACTAATCATCAAGGAAATGCTAATTAAAACTACAATGAGATATCACTCATGATGGCTACTGTGATAAAAATAAAAGATAACAAATGTTGATGAGAATGTGGAGAAATTGGAACCCTTGTGCACTTTTGGTGGGAATGTAAAATGCTGCAGTCACTATGGAAAACGGTATGATTTCTCAAAAAATTAAAACTACAATATGATCCACCAATTCCACTTCTGGGTATATATCCAAAATAATTGAAATCAGGATCTCAAGGAGATTTCCACTTTCCTATGTTCCATTGCAGCATTATTCACAATAGCCAAGAGGTGGAAACAACTTAGAAATCCCTTGACAGATGAATGGATAAAGAAAATGTGGGATAAACAGATAGTGAAATATTACTCAGCCTTAAAAACAAGGAAATCCTGCTATCTGTAACAACATGGATGAACCTTGAGGAGATTATGCTAAGTGAAATTAGCCAGTCACAGAAGGATAAATACTGTATGATTCCACCTATCTGTGGACTCGAATAGAGTGAGATTCATAGAAGTAGAGAGCAGAATGGTGGCTACCACAGGCTGGGAAGAGGGGGAAATTGTTGTTCAATTAGTATAAAGTTTCGGTTATGCAAGATGGTAAGTTTTAGAGATCTGCTTAGTGCCTACAAGTAACAGTATGGTATTGTGCACTTAAAAGATTTTAAGAGGGTAGATCTCACATTAAGTGTTCTTACCACAAAAATAGAGGAAGCAGGAGGAAACTTGGAGATGGTGGATATGCTTATTACCTTTATTGTGGTGATAGTTTCATGAGTGTATGCTTATGTCCAAACTCATGAAATTGTATACATTAAATATGTGTCACTTTTTTGTATATCAATTATGCCTCAATATAGCTGTTTTTTTAAAGAGAGTGAATTTGGAACTGAGATACAATAACTTAATAACTGGCACATCTGATGCAACTAAGCAAGAAGAAAAGAGGAAAAAGTATAAATAACCAGTATCAGGAATATAAAAGGAAACTCCAAAGATGCTGAGAAAGAGAAGAAAAATATGAGAAAGATGAGATACTTTGAACTTTATGTGATGGGTACTTCGGTTTATGTTTGAAAATCTCCATAATAAAAGTTGGATTTTAAGCTCATAGCCACATCTGGACTAGGCACCTTATATATATTACCTCTTTTAATCCTCATGAGGCCAGTGTTATTTTATGCTTAGGGAAAGACAAGCTCAGAGAAGTCACATACTTTGTACATGAGCTCATGGCCAATTAGTGTTATCACCAGGATTTGAGCCCAGAGTTTTCTGTCTGTCCAAACCAATCTGGGAGACCTTAGAAATCATCTAACATAACTTCTTCATCTGATGGTAAAGAAAGCTGGGGCCCAGAGAGAAATGACTTGCCCAGGTCACCAACCAGATAAAGTATAATATATTGGCAAAAGATTAGACAGAACTTCAATTCAAAGGCTGCTTCTATTATTTACTAGCTATCGTCCTTTGAATAAAATATTTGACCTTTCTGAGACCATTTCTCATGTGCAAAATCGGAATAAGGCCCGCCTAGTTAGAGTAGTTTAAGAATGAAATTATGTAGAGCTCTTGTTCCAGTGCCTCTCCCCACCTTATAAGTACTTCAAACGTTGTGAGTGGTGGAGGTAACAGCAAAGACTCAATCCAGGGTTTCTCTGCCCTTGTTGAGGACTCTTCCTGAAGAGGAGGAGGAAGATGGCAACTATATTCTAGGGATTAATGTGAAAAACTGTTAAAGGTTGGTTGTATTTTGAAACAATAGATTATTCTTACTAAAATAATATTTGATGCTCCTTTTTATAGTTGCAGTTTGGAGTATAGTAAAGTGGCATTATAGCCACACTAAATTGTACAAATTCATCTCTCATGCTTTTTCCCCTTTCCTTTCCCTTGTTTAAAATACCGGTTGAGTGTCCGTTATCTAAAATTCTTGGGACCAGATGTGTTTCAGGTTTGGGGGATTTTGTTTTTGTTTTTGAATATTTGCTATACATAATGAGATATCTTGGGTATGGAACCCAAATCTAATTATGACTTTCTTTTATGTTTGATACATACCTTATGCATATAGCCTGAGGCTAATTTCATACAATATTTTAAAATAGTCTTGTACATGAAACAAAGTTAGTGTACAGTGAAACATCAGAAAGCAAAGGTATCGCTATCTCAGCCACCCCGTGGACAATCTGTGGTTGTTTGACATCACTACCATACCTGACTGAACTTATATGCTACTGATAAGCAATTATTTTCATAATACACTTTTTCTCACATAAGTACGTAACAGTAAAAAATATGACAAACCATTTATACAGTGACAAAATAATGTGTTCAGGGTGACCAAGCAGCACAGCAGCATCACAGAACACCTCTACCAGCTGTCAGACAACAGCAGCAACCAACAAGGGCTGTAGGTTCAGTCTCCACCTGCAGTGCTATGTTCTGAAATATCAGAAGCAGGTGAGGGGCTAGGAAGTAGCTCCTCTAGGGCAAAGGAGGCATTCTGCTTGGTGACTCTTTAAAATGTTTCCTCCAGTCATCTGTCTCATTAAAAACAGTTTTTGGGCTGGGCATAGTGGCTCATGCCTGTAATCCCAGCACTTTGGGAGGCTGAAGGTGGTGGATCACGAGGTCGGGAGATCAAGACCATCCTGGCCAACATGGTGAAACCCCATCTCTAATAAAATACAAAAAAAAAAAAAAAAATTACCTGGACGTGGTGGTGCGTGTCTGTAGTCCCAGCTACTCAGGAGGCTGAGGTAGGAGAATTGCTTGAACCCAAGAGGTGGACGTTACAGTGAGCTGATATCATGCCACTGCACTCCAGCCTGGCAACAGGGTTTTTGTTTTTCCTTCTCAGAAAAAAAAAAAAAATACAAAAAAGTAGCCAGGCATGGTAGCAGGTGCCTGTAATCCCACTACTCAGGAGGCTGAGGCACTTGATCCCAGGAAGGGGAGGTTGTAACAAGCCAAGATCACACCACTGCACGCCAGCCTGGGCAACAGAGTGAGAATCTGTCTAAAAAAAAGAAGTAACAGTTTTTGTCCTAGCCATCTCTCATGGGTTGTATAAGTGACACGATTTCTTGTTCTGTTATGAATGCATACTGCTCTTGTCCTTCAATAAGTATTTTGATTGCATATACAGCCAGGTGTGGAATTTCCACTTCTAGCATCATGTCAGTATTCAAAAAGTTTCAGATTGGCCAATATGGTGAAACCCCATCTCTACTAAAAATACAAAAATTAGCCGGGCGTGGCAGCGGGCACCTGTAGTCCAAGCTCCTCAGGAGGCTGAGGCAGGAGAATCACTTGAACCCGGGAGGCAGAGTTTGCAGTGAGCTGAGATCACACCACTGCTTTCCAGCTTGGACAAGGCGAGACTCTGTCACACAGACAAAAAAAAAGTTTCAAATTTTTGACTTCAGCTTTTCAGGTTAGGGATGCTCAACCTGTACTATAAAATTATGTTTTGCATATGTAATCACAATGTATTTTACTATGCAGATACATGTAAATAGTATATTATAATAAAACTATTTTTTCCTGAATGTTATGGACAGTTTAATGAATTTTTCAGTAATCAATTCAACTATACTCTGCTGTGTGCACTGATTTTAGAATTTTATTTCATGTCCAGATGTGACTCACTTTAAAGGATACTATGAAGGAGACTTTCTCTTATCACTTTCTGTGATCTTCCTGGTTTCCTCATACCTGAATTTAATCCTTATGGAGCTGATATACACATTTCAGAATATTCTAAGAATACTATAATCCTTACTACCATGTATCTTTAAAGATGGAATATCGAATTGTGATATGAATCATATCAAGCATTAGTAGAATGCTCACTACCAAACTACACACATCTTGAGGTCCCAGTCTGTGAGTTAAGTATTTCTCTGTGTTCCATAGCATCTTGCAAAGAGTTTTGCAGAGTAGGTGCTCAAAAAAAAAACAGTTGCTGAACAAATGAGGCATATACTTATGTTGGTTTTTCTTTGTACATGCAGAAGCACTATGGTTAAGTTTTTCAGTAAGCCAGTTTGCATGAATTAAAAATAAGTCTGAAGAGCTTTCCCCCTCCTACTTTTCTTTCAGTTTGTATACAAGAACACTTTACCTGAGATATAGGCCAAAAGTGAAGGTAAGTCCACTTTTAGATCCTGTGTGTGTGTGCTGAGGGTAGGATACTGGGTATAGGACGGAGGTGGAAGAAGAAAGGGGAGTGTGGAGAGGTAGTGGAGCAAACACAGGCTTTGGAACCAAAGGCATTGAATCTTTCATTTACTACTGCATGTTCTTGGACAAGTCTCTTCTCTTTAAGCCTTAGCTTCTTTGACAATAAAATCGAGCTGCTAGTAACTACACTGCAGAGATATTTTAAAGATCAGAGATAATTTATATGCTCAGCTTCATGCTTGACAAAGTCAAAGCATAATAAATTTAAATAAACTCAATAAAAAATACTCTCTGATATCTGGTACAAGTCTAGAAGGAATATACTCTGCCAAGGCTACTAATACCAGGACAATCACTAGCAAACCTACGTATAGTCATAGCCCCATGTATTCTTTCTCATTCTTTTTCAAGGATAACATGGAACCATTTTATATTTTCTCATTCTGTCCTAATTTGTTCCCAAACAGTTTCTTTTTGGAATCTGGCCAGTGATCCTGTTTGAGCCTCTCAGGAAGCATTGATGAATCATTCCACCAAGAAAACAAACAAGCACCTACCACAGACCTGGCAGAATAAATAAGGAAATCCTTAAAGATCTACAAGTTCAAATATGTCACGACCATCACAGCAGAGGAGTGACTTTCTGACTAATGCCGCCAGCCGCAAAGAGAATGAGGAATGGGGCCTGCTGAGTGTTTCGTTCATGGCTTCCTCTCATTTGTCACCCTCCCCCTTTCACCCTCCAGTTTATAAAGAAACAGAGATGATGATGTGTGTACAACCTCAAATGCAGAAACAACTGGGCTTTTCTTAACAGGTTAACAGTTTGTGATGGTTATAAGAAATTAACCTTTTTTTCTTTTTGCCAAGGGTTGCATGTGAATTATACCTTTCTTAATATATGATTAAATAATGCAAACAGTCAGCTAAGGGCCAACAAAACCCCATATCGAGCATATCCAGATAGTTAGCTGTGAGCCAGCACTCAGCTGTATCAGATTTGATTAATGTTTTTGTATTAATCTCATGGATGTTTCACAAAGGTTAAAGAAAAAAAAAGAGGAAGAAGAAAGAGCTAGCTGTGGGATTCTGTGTAGTTCTTCACTATCTGTTCTGGGGCTAGTTGGAGTGTCATAAGCAAGCTCAGACCTGCCCCTGGTTCAGTACTTAACCACATCCCAGGATTTATGGTGTCTGCCTATGGCCACAGCCAACCAGAATGAGTAGGTCAGCTTATCCCTTTCTGAAGCTCCATGAGGACATGTATAGAATGCTGCAACTTCAGCCAGCTCTGTTCCTCTGATCTTTGCAGATCTTTAAGTTGTCACCATTTTTATGACTAGACAAATACAACTGGTGGTCTAGACTGCTCATAGTTCATCCTCCTCACATAACTTATTTGAAGTTGTCAGGGAATGTCATTACTTTCTGACTTTTTAAATTATGCAGTATTTTCCAGTTCTCAGAGAGGTCATGGTTGTGCCCAGGGAAGTGTGTTGCATTAACTAAAGCTAAAATGATGAGGATCCTATTTACATAAAACATATTAAAATATCTGCTTCTTAATTTTCTGAAGGAAATAGATATAAGTTTCTGTACAGAATCCACAAAAATTAGGGTGCTAAGAAATGACAGTAAAATCTCATCGTAAGGCAGCTAGTTCTAATTTGCATTTGAATGTATAACAAATTTCATCACTTTTCACAAACATAACACCTGCCTGGAGTAAAAATCTGATTTTACCCCTCTGCTTATGCATCATCATATTTGTAGCTCTGCATCATTTAGCATTTTTATTACTTTTTTTGCTTTTTGTAAATTATTGTAAAATCCAGATTGTTTTTACCACATGGTGACATGACTCAAGATTAAATCCTGAGCTACAGTTTCAAAAGGAAAATCATTTTTTCATATGTAAAGATGGTAAAACACTTTTGTCATTTGTTCCAGGATTAAGTAGCCTTCATACAAATTTAAAACCAAAAACTGTTCTGTTGTTTGTCTTCACCTACTGGCTTCAGTTTTATTAACCAAGTATCCAAGGACATCAAGTTGGCACCCTTCCCTTAGCACACCAACAAGCCAGTAGACTGATTCTTCCGTCTGCTTTTATGATCCTCCAGGAAGAAAAACACTTTCCAAAACATTAAGAGAACTTTGGTTTTGTCTTAAGAGGGTATAAAACTAAACCATTCGATTTTGTACTTAATTTTGCCCCAAGATTCTGACTTCTGGCTACATTTCACCTGCAGTTACCTGGGATATCAGCCAGGATACATTTTTTAATTCCTTTTTTTTTTACATCATTATCTTTTTATACTTTTCAGTTAGATATTCTTCGGCATAAATAATATATATATACCGTGTAGGATAAAGGTATATCCTACATGGCAATGCTGTTAAACATGGTAAGACTGAGTTTCTGCAGGATTAAAGTCAAATTAAGGGTATAGAGCACACACCTTGATACTGAGGCCATTTAGAGTAATTTGTTTAATGAGTGTTTTATTCACCACCACCAGTGGCCACCTGTTCAATAAAATTGTCTCCACCCCAAGGTGACGGGTAAGACTGTGGCCAATTCTTTGAAAACCCTTGTTTTTGTTGGGAGAATGAAAAGCAGAAAGGGAAGCCAGGCTCCTTAATATTCCAAGTCAGCTGTGCCTCGTTTTAGCAACTAAGTAAAACACTCAAGACTTTGTATCTGTGCAGTATTTTATGGAAATCACTGGTGACCTACAGGATATTGCTAAATTATCTTTTCAATGGCTTTATTTTTTCCTTCTTGGATTCTAGATGGACATTACAGGGTTGGATTCCTTACTGTCCCCTCCCGCTGTCATTTGTTTTAGTGGAAAACTTCATGTTAACTAGAGTGTACAAAAAAGTCTGTTTCCTGCTGAGCCAATAATGATTTGTTTGCATATCACCTAATGTGAAAAGTGCTCATCTGTGAACCCTACAGTAAATTATATTTTAGAAAATACTTTGTGAGGCTGGCCACGGTGGCTCATGCCTATAATCGTAGCACTGTGGGAGGCCGAGGTGGGTGGATCACTTGAGGTCAAGAGTTTGAGACCAGCCTGGCCAACATAGTGAAACTCCATCTCTACTAAAAATAAAAAAATTAGCCGGGCATAGTGATGCACGCCTGTGGTCCCAGCTACTCGGGAGGCGGAGGCAGAAGAATTGCTTGAACCCAGGAGGCGGAGGCTGCAATGAGCCGAGATCACACCACTGCACTCCAGTCTGGGTGACAGAGCAAGACTCCATCTCAAAAAAAAAAAAAAAAAAAAAAAAAAAAGAAAATACTTTATGAGGATGTGAAAGAAGCAATGTGCTTGCACTTGAATATCCTTGTGCCTCCATTTTCACTCTGAAAAACTGAAAGCAATTTGGCTTTTATTTTTGTTTTTTTAAGGAACAGCTAGTGACAGGAGGTTAAGCTGATTGGTCACTCTACCCTCCCCTTCCCCACTGTGGTGTTTCATGAAACATCCCGACTACCTGAACTGATCTTTTTAATCCTTGTGATAGTAAATACATTTATAATTAACAGGAAAAACATTTTTTAATAATCTACAAATGAAAACCCTAATAGTAGTATTTGGTTTGACAAAAGCAAATCAAATATTATGCTTTAAACATAATGCAAAATTTCAGGACAGTTAATTTGGTCTTCCCTTACCCTAAGAGGGTTTTTCTTATAAGGAGAAGAGGTGTAGTTCAAAGAAAATTAAGAAACAAAAACTTCAAATACATAATGCATGAAAATCCTTAAATGCCTGCAAAAATTAAGTTCTATTATAATACTAGCCAATTCCAAATTAGCCAATGCCCTAAAAGTGTCTAACAATTTAAGGTTGTCTTATGAGTCCCACGAAAACAATTATATCTGGTTAAATTTGAGTTTTAGCTACCAACTCCATATTTATGTGACAATAAGTTGTTTTGGCCCTGTGGTTGATGATGTGCTGCTGGATAAGCATTTATGTAAAACTGACATTTCAAAGAGAACCATTTCTAATTGGAATTTCCACCTATGTGACTGTTTGCAGATCTACCTCCGTCTTCCATTTTGCATCCTATCAGTGTTACAATTAGTTTGATCACTTTGTCTTGTTTTTTAGTGTCTGCAATTATAGCTTATTCACTATGTTTTAACTATTTAAAAATAAGGACTAAAATTTGATTTAAAGTAGTTAAACCCCTTTATGGAAGGAGCTGCAAAATGGAAAAAAAAAAAAAAAAAAAGAAAAGAAAAGAAAAGGAATGTCATCTTGATCTGGCTGACTAGAAATTCTCTTTTTATTTTCTTTTCTTCTTTTCTTTTTTTTTTTTTTTTTTTTTTTTTTGAGACAGAATCTCATTCTGTCACCCAGGCTGAAGCGCAGTGGCACAATCTCAGCTCACTGCAACCTCCGCCTCCTGGATTCAAGTAATTCCCCTGCCTCAGCCTCCTGAGTAGCTGGAGTTACAGGCATGCACCACCACACCCAGCTATTTTTTTTGTATTTTTAGTAGAAACAGGGTTTCACCATGTTGGTCAGGCTGGTCTCAAACTCCTGACCTTGTGATCTGCCCGCCCTGCTTCCCAAAGTGCTGAGATTACAGGTATGAGTCGTCACGCCTGGCTTAGAAATTTTCAATACTGTCTTTTAACTGTTGCATTCCAGCCAGCCTGGGCAACAGAGTGAGACCCTGTCTCAAAATAAATAAGAGTAAGAAAATACTTGTTAAAATATCTAACTATGTAATTGTTGCATGAGGGAGCTGCCAGTGTTGTTGAGGTTCTTGGAAGCATTCCACTGGACTTCAGCATTTCTCCAAAATTACCAGCCCAGTCAGCTTCATATACCCAGATATGGACACTTCTTCACTTGAAATTCAAACTGAAGGTAAAACTCTGACTTTGGACAGTAAACCTTTGCCTTGGGTATGAAACCTTGACACTGTTAAAAGAAAAGTGGAAAACTATAAGAGACAACAAGTTTCAACAAGGCACAGTCTACAGTCTGATTGCCTATTTTCATGTACTTTAAAGAGTATTATTTCTCAAGGTCTTCATTTTATCATTAAATTCAGCTAATTACTACCTGTTTTGAAAAGCAACTAGTGTAGAAGATTGGTCACAATAATTTGGGGGGGGGGGGGGGACAGGGTTTCAGCATGTTGTTCAGGCTGATCTTGAACTCCTGACCTTATGATCCACCTGCCTCAGCCTCCCAAAGTGCTGGGTTTATAGGCGTGAGCCACCGTGCCTGGCCACAATAATTTTTTTTAATAGAAAACCTTAAAATCCAAATCAAGAAATTCAGTTACAGGCTGCAAAGTAACCTAAAATTCCCCCACTCTGTTTAGCTCAGCAGCTGCCAGTCAGTATAGCACCAGCCACAATTCACTGTGCTCTGCATACAGTTCCTTTCCCGCCCTTACAAGACCTGCTTCATTGCTTTAAAGAACATAGTGCTGATACTTGAACTGAATTTAATCATTGGTAACTTAAATATTCACAAAATTGTCATAAGCTTCTGAAACTTCTGGCAGTGCCATATCTGTAGATCATCACTTTTAATGGAGTTTGCAGAATTAACTCTAAAAATTGCAGCAACCATATTTATTAGAGAAATCTTTAACCATATACATATGATTCCCTGTAAGTATTCATTCAGAGATCATCTGTGCCTAAAAGTAAATGATAAAAATGTGTCATAATATCACAAGGCTCTAAATCAGGGATTGGTAAACTGTAACCCATGGGCCAAATCCAGGCTGCAGTTAGATGATCTGCAAGCTAAGAATGGTTTTTATATTTTATTTTATTCTATTTTTTATTTTATTTTATTTATTTATATTTCTTCAGACAGTGTTTCTGTTGCCCTGGCTGGAGTGCAGTGGCAGGATCTCACAAACCCCCCCTCCCAGGTTCAAGTGATTCTCCTGCCTCAGCCTCCCAAGTAGCTGGGACTACAAGCACATGCCACCATGCCAAGCTGGTCTTGAACTCCTGACAAGTGATCTGCCCACCTTGGCCTCCCAAAGTGCTGGGATTACAGGTGTGAGCCACCATGCCCAGCCGGTTTTTACACTTTAAAAATGTTTAAACAAGCAAAGAAGAATATGCAACAGAAACTCTATGTTGCCTGCAAAGTCTAAAATGTTTACTCTCTGGCTGGGGAGTTTGCGTGCCCTGCTCTAGACTGTCAGCAAATGGCACAGTGGTACAGTACAGTGGCACTGCCCAACTATACGTCTCTGCGAGGTGATTCTAGTGTGTATTTGTAAGAATGAAAATTTGTTATATAAGACATCTCATGTTTTTGTTGACTGTAATCACATGATTTGTATTTAATATTTACTGAATTATTTTTTCATATCAGTTTTTCTAGATTGGCAATAGCCTATTGCAAAGTGCCTAAACCTTTGAGAAAAATTACTATGAGCAAGGTCCATGATTTAGTTTTCAATATAAAGGGAATTTCATTCTATTCTATAAAATCCAAAAATGCTAGTTGCCCTTCGCTTTTGAGTTGACTTCCAGAAAGTTGAGATCTTTTGACCATTTTTTCTCATATCATATAAAATGTGCCACTTGGTGGTTGTCACACTGTGGTAGTCATGTACACTTTTTTTTTAACTTTCTAAAAGGAAAAATTCAAAGTTCTTTCCACAGTCAGTCCAGGCTTTTGGGTTTTTCTTTTTAGAGCTAAATTATGCATACTAATAAGTAAGTGAGTCTGTTCTGAGATATAGATGCCATTACCTATTTTTGCTTAATGTACTGATGGGGCATTGTTGTTCACCATCATGCGTTTCCATACTTTTAATATTTCTGAGTCACTTATCAATGTGACCAACAGATAAACTGTTCAAGCTAATATAGCACTTCCTAACCTCATAGTTGTTGCAGATGTTTGTTCTAGTAGTGATCATTTAATAAACATATACATTGTACTGAATCTTATAAGCAACTAACATTTTCAGATAA